CACAGAGTGGGGAGGAACAGCACTTTGGGAGGAAAGAATAAAAGGAGCAGTTTCAGAGAGAGAGAGTTAGATGGGGTTTGGTTTTGAGAGATCGGGCTAGATTTGAGAAGAGGGATAGGATTTGATTTGAGATGTTAGACAGGTTTCAGGTTGGGAGATAGGGAGTGAGATAGGGAGAACTGGTTCCGAGAAGTTAAACATACACACTGAGGAGACTATCCATAGAGAGAAGACAGAGCCTCGCAGCTTGGATAGGGAGACAGGGCTGAGGGTCTGGGAAAGGTGTACAGAGAGGAGTGTTCTGGGAGGGCTGTGACTGAACCGGGAGAGGTAGATCTTGTGGGAATTCAGGCTACCTGCATCTCAGTATAGCCAGGACAGGAGAGTTCTTCTAGGTACTGAAGACTCCCAAACCAGTAAGAAGAGGTGAGGTGATCCTCTGTTATAACCATTTAGAATTGCTCAGTTGTGGGATTGTTAAGAGTGGGTAACTGAGAAGTACCCCTTGCTTATGAACCAAAGTATTAAGCTGTGAAGGGAGCGGTATGGTGTTGAAAGTATTTAATTGTAATATCTAAGTGACAGAAAGGGACGCGGGTGGCGCTGTGGGTTAAACCACAGAGCCTAGAACTTGCCGATCAGAAGGTCGACGGTTTGAATCCCCGTGACGGGGTGAGCTCCCTTTGCTCGGTCCCTGCTCCTGCCAACCTAGCAGTTCAAAAACACAAAGTGCAAGTAGATAAATAGGTACCGCTCTGGCGGGAAGGTAAACGGCGTTTCCATGCACTGCTCTGGTTCGCCAGAAGCGGCTTATTCATGCTGGTCACATGACCCGGAAGCTGTACGCCGGCTTCCTCGGCCAATAAAGCGAGATGAGCGTCGCAACCACAGTCAGTCACGACTGGACCTAATGGTCAGGGGTCCCTTTACCTTTAAGTGACAGAAACTGAGTTGAGCATTTTACCATCTATTTTAGAAACCTGAATATTTACCACCTGAAGTGTAACACCTGATTTTAAGAAACTGAAGTTTAAGAAGAGCAGTGCCTATAGTGTTGTGTTTAAGCCTGAGACATCTTATAGTTAGTTAAAGTAAGTAAGTTAACTTTTACCTGAAAGAACGCATTTCCTGACCCACTTTGTTTCATAAACCTCTTTTTGTTTAATAAAACTTTTCTTGTTTGTTTGATCAACTCCTGCTTGAGACTGTAAATCATTAAGCTTTCCCTCACACAAGTCCGCCACTAGATAATCTGTGGTCAATTGTAGAAACTTGTGTAATTAGTGTACCAAGAGGTGGATGCACTATTTTTAATTGGGGGCAGTTAGCAGGAGTGGATCTGCCGCATTATTAATTGGTGATATTAAGTGGTGGGTCCAGTAGCCCTCTCCTCTCACTGAAGTGTATATGTGAGTGTATTTGTGCCAGAAGATGAACAACTAACTCACACAAATACATTGCTGGTTTTCAAGATTGTGCTCACAGCTGCTTGCTTGCAAAAGGACAAAATAATGCCTCAGTCTCAGAGAAGAGCAACAAAAGTACCTAGCTTGTAAATAGATGTATCTGATTGGTCGGGAAGGGCATGCATAATTCTGCTGTAGAACTTTCAGTGCATTTCTGAGGAACTTCTGATTGGCTAGTAGTTTAATCCATTGGAGAAAGTAGGAAATAAGATCAAAATGGAGTTTCAAATGGGTCTACTTCCCTTCATAAACCAGTCCTACTGCACTGGTTCCCGGTGGAGTACAGGATCAGGTTTAAGGTGCTGGTTTAAACCTTCAAAGCCCTATATGGTCTAGGACCCTCATAGCTACAGGACCGCCTCTCCTGGTATGCCCCACGGAGGACCTTAAGGTCTGCAGACAACAACACTCTGAAGATCCCGAGCCCCAGGGAAATTAGACTGGCCTCAACCAGAGCCAGGACCTTTTTGGCCGTGGCCCTGACCTGGTGGAACGCTCTCCCACAAGAGACTAGGGCCCTGTGGGATTTGACATCTTTCTGCAGGGCCAGAAAGACGGAGCTGTTCCGCCAGGCCTTTGGGCAGGGTGCAGTCTGACCTATTTTCTTTTGTATAAGAACAAGCACGAAGGAGGCCTCCCAGCCCACTCACAGGTCCTTATATGATCAGTGGAAACAGTTGGTCCTGGCAAGTATTAGCTGCTCTCAATCTTAACCTGATAATTGCCAATTAATTGATGCCTGTTTTTATGCATACTGTGTTATTTATATGATGTTAGCCGCTCTGAGCCCGGCTCCGGCCAGGGAGGGCGGGGTACAAATAAAAATTATTATTAATAATAATTTAAAACCATATTGTTTTTACCCCTGGATTCTGAGGTGGGACCATAGGGCTGCTTGTGGTTGAATGTGCTGTCCAGAGATGACTGACCAGCAAAGGAGATGGGCAGAAACAAGTCAAGAGTATAGTGAGGTGTTTTATTGCATATGAATGCAAGAAATGGACGAAGGACTGGGCTATAACTGTCTGTGTGTGCTGGCGTTTACGGCAGGTAGTGCCCCAATTCCCCTAAGTTAGGTGCCTCCACTGGTGGTCTGTCATTATGCCTAAATCGAATGCCTAGCTAATCTTAGTTTGCTGCTCCACTCTATGGCAAGCAAAGAACAGGAAGGAATAAATAGGACTTTCTATTCCTGCTGAACCTTTCTTGGTCTGCAGTATCTTCCTAAACTGTGATGAGTTTTTTGGTCCTGATTTCGGACATGCTCCTGAATCTAGCCGCCTGGTTCAACCCCACCCACCCACCTTTTTTGTCCTCACTTCTGGTTTGTGCTGCACATTTTGTTGCTGATTTCATTTGGAATGTCAATTTCAAAAATTCAGTGCTTAATAGGAAGCAGGAAAGCATCCACTCCTACCTGCTGAACCTGCCCTCCTCAGTAAGTGCATACAGAACAACTTCTGGAAAAGCCTACATGCATACTAACCATATTGTGTATGAGCTCTGTAGAATCTGGGCTTCCTTGATCATGCGTGCAGAACCTATGCACATACAGTACTCATGTATGCTCTTTTAGATATCATGAGCATATATAGAGAGTGGGCAGGTGCAGAAAATCTACCTATCTTTTTACTCACATTCCATGTACATAATTAGAACACGTGCACATTTATTATATTAACGTAGAGTGATTTGATTTCATAGTCAAACAAATGAACTAGTTTTCTTCCAGTCATATATAGTTGGAAGTTTTCCTCCATTATTACTGAATACTGTAGCAGCTGCTACACAAGGCCTGAGAGAATAGTTGCTGTAGAGTAGTAAACCATAGATGTTGGGCAATAAGATGCTGTATTGTGCAGTAAATTAGTGGTGACAACATTTTTGTTGTCCCAATCTGAAGATCAGTGTTAAACATATACATTCAGCACCCCAACATTTAACTGGTACAATTCATGATTTGCCTTGCATTTTGCATTTTATATTACAACTAGAGTGCTCTGCTAATGTCAGTTACTTAATTCGCATTGAATAGCGTTAAGGCCTTTGCTAACAAGGAAGTTAAAATGAGTGTCAGGTTTTGATAAGCCTTGACTGTAATTAAGTTGTTTTGGCAACTGTACCATTTTTACAGGTTTTTGTTCTTCCCCCTAAGCAAGAAGCTAAGGATAGTGGAGGCAATGTTTTTCATTTGAATCTGTGTGTTGTTAATATATGCTATTAATGTTTAGTTGAATTTTAACCTAACATGTCTATGATATTTTTTATACATATTGTCCTATTTTCTGGGGGCTTTTGTCGCACAAAGCTTAGTGAACTGCAAAAAAAAAAAAAAAATGCAATTCATGATCAGTGCAGATTAATAATGGGTGCTTTCATCATAGCTGTCAAGTTTTCCCTTTTCTTGCGAGGAATACTATTCGGAATAAGGGAATTTCCCTTAAAGAAGGGAAAACGTTGACAGCTATGGCTTCCATCATGGCACTTAATTGTGGATTTGGTGCTAGGGATGGAAGGATCTGTTCATTTCTTATTTTTCCACATTTCTGAAGCATTTTGTGAATATATATAAAAAATCCTCATGAATTTTTTTCCCATTATTTTAGTTTGAATTTTTCCTAAGGAACAGTTTTGACTAATGGACACATTTTTGAAGCCACTTCTCTTAATATAATGTATTTTATGTTATCTTCACTAATAAATTCATTTTTATGCACAATTTCCCCTAAGGTATCCATTTTCAAAATAATGGTTAGTTGGAGAACTACATAAAATTGGGTTGGTGCTTGAGCAATATTGGACCTATGTGAGTGAGGTGGAGGAATATCTTTCTCATCCTGCCAGGGTCCCAACAAAAATATCCTCTTCAAGGATGCTATTTTCATTTCAAGAAAAGCTCCCATTAGTACCAGTGCAGCCTTCCCTCATAATGCAAGTAGAAGCTTCAGAGAGGCAATTTTTGAAATAGTCCAGTTTTTAAGAACCATAATCTTAGGACTGAGCTTTTTTGAAGACTACTTTAGCAGTTTCAAAATTGGAGTTTCCTTTTTTTTTTTTAATCAAAGTGAAATTCAGCAATGTCTTCGTTCCTCATGAAGGATATGTTAATGATGTGCCAACCTATCTCAAGTTGAAAATACAAACTATTGCACCTCATAAGGTTTCCAGAAGAAATTTAATGTGAGGTCTGGAAGGAAATCCTTCTAACTCCATCCATATCCCAGGGAAAGCACTGCAGTGATGTTTATGTATGCTCTTCAGGTAAATAATGTGGAATGTCAAATAATGTGGAATGTCAAACATCTATTAACACAAATGGCCATGTCAGTAATGATAAGGTAGATCCAGAGTAAACTAGTTGTTCTTGAGTCCCATTGAATTCAATGCAAAAGTTTAATAACTAAGTGTATTCTCATATTTCACAGTACTACTGGTATCCTCCATTTGTCCTTTCATGGAATGAGAGAATTGTAGAGTTGGAAGGGACCCTGGGGATCATCTAGTCCAACCCCCTGCAATGAAGGAATATGCAGCTGTCCCATACGGGGATCGAACCTGCAACATTGGCATTATAAGCACCACACTCTAACCAACTGAGCTAACTATGCATTAGTATAAGAACCCATTGTTAACATAAAGCAGCACAGCCAAACATTTGTTGTTGGGGTAGCTTCCGAGTTTCCTCTAGAATGTATAAAAGCACCCTAAACTGCAACAATATCTAAACACATTTTAGCTAAGAAGCTAACTTTGAAAATGACATTTTGATGCATTTTGTATTCGACATAATGCCTTAAGAAAAATGTTACGCCTTTTGGGCTGTTTTATCATTCCCATGGAAGGCAATATTGTTCCTGGTAATAAAAAGCATATTTAGTTGAGAGCTTTTCTGCTTCTATAAAGCATATACAGTAACATAATGTTTGCAGGGATTTGCACAATTATTGAAACACTCTTGGGTAACGTTTACCATGAGACATAGGTTTTAGAGCTCAGTGTGTTAACTATTTCCATTGATTTTTCCAAGCAGACTCTCAGGGTAATGTACTGAATTTAAAATAAAGGGAAAAGCACAGAATCTGGTGGAGAGAGGCAAGTATGTGGCTTTGGAAAGGCATTTCAGGAACCACAGACATTGTAAATCAAATGGCCATTTAAATTAGATTACAAATGGCAGCATGGCGGGACAGATTTTCTGCATGGGTTCTGCATGTGAAGCCACTTTTTGTCCAAAAAGAAATTCTGCATGGTATGGAGAAAGTGGGTAGAGAGGTGTTTTTCTTTCTCTCTTTATAATAATAAAACTTGAGGTCACTCAGTGAAACTGATTGGGGGTACCTTTGGAACAAGCAGTAAAGTAATCTGCTTAAAGGTTCAAAAATACTAGGAAATGGTAATTCAAACCTTAGGGATCCTATATTTTGCTTACTGATATAGTAGCGGTTAACCTATTTGTCATGGCGTGATCAGTTTATATGTGGCACTGAAATGCTCTACTGGCCCTTCAGAGCAGGAAATATTTAGGAACAGTTGGGGTGTGTTGTTCCTTTCTAGCTCAGTAGCTTACTAGTAGCTTACTAGCTCTGCCTTGCCTGCAGGGGATTCCAGGTTCAATTCCCAGGATCTCCAGGGAGTAGTAGGAGAGACTTATTGTATGAAACCCTGGAAAGATGCCAACAGTGGTTCCGACTCAGTACATACAGATCCCACTATCTCCCATGGACTGCAAGAAGATCAAACCTCTCCATTCTGAAGGAAAGCAGCCCTGAGTTCTCACTGGAAGGACAGATCCTGAAGCTGAGGCTCCAATACTTTGACAGAGGATGAGATGGTTGGACAGTGTTCTCGAAGCTACCAGCATAAGTTTGACCAAGCTGCGGGAGGCAGTGGAAGACAGGAGCGCCTGGCATGCTCTCGTCCATGGGGTCACAAAGAGTCGGACACGTCTAAATGACTAAACAACAACAATGTACATTTAATATGGATCAAAGTTGAGGAAATCATTATGAAACAACGATGACTTGAGTTAGTTGCTTGAGAGAGAAAAAAGAGGGGGGCAGACTCTTGAAATGCTGTGACAAGTAGCATGCTGTTAACAGTCTGGGTGGTATCCAACTTTACATTTCCCCCTCCCCCGCCCTGTTTATAATTTTCAGAACTCATATTGAAGATGTCTTTACATTTCAAGCTGTTTCTTCTCCTAAACTTTATGAAGATTGTACAATTATTACCGAGGAATGTCAAAACAGTGCATGGCTAAGCATTAAACCATGTAATGTATGTTGGATGGGGGTGGGATGTACTAGCACGCTTCAGTCAAATTGCTAAATAGCTTGCACTCTGCAGACATTGCGATGAGGAATAAATATAACTTGCAAACAGAAAATAAGAAATTTTGCTTCATGAGAGAAGAATGAAGTGGGGGAAAGGCCAAATCAATGCAATCTGAAGCATGAGATTTTCCATTTCTTGTAATAATTTTATAACCTTTATATTTATGCATATTAATCTGGGAATTTATCTCTGTGAGCTTCCTTTTATGGATAATTCACTTGACCATTTTAGTGTTGGAACAGGACCAATCATGCAAGTAGGGATTGCAAGACTACATGAAATGGGGGTAGGAAAGGAATGTACAGTTATTATTGGTGAAAGAGGTTTAAAAGGAAAGCCCTCACTTTGTTATTGGGATAAGATGGCATTTCTCAGGTTAGTGAGTAATGATTGCATTGGGATGTATTAGGATTGGTTCAGCGGAAGTGCAAAAGGTGGTTAAATTAGTGGATTTTTGGTGTAGATTGTAATAGATTATATGGCACATGCAACAATATTGCTGAAAAGGTATTGATGTGACCAATTTCTTCCAAAATTAAATGAATCATAGCAAATGCCCTACCAGTAGCTTCTTTTCTGATACCTCAGTAGATGAAGTTTGCATTAGGAGTGCAGTTAGAGAGTTGCCTACAGGACTGAGCCCCAAGTCTTGCATTCTGTTCCCCAGAACTCTTCACTTTGCTTGTATACTTCATTGGGCATTCTGCAAAGTGACAATGAGAACCACCTAACATATTAATTGTCCCAGAGACATTTATTTGCAACTATGCATGTAAATTATACGGTCATACCTCGGGTTACGAACGCTGCGGGTTGCGGGTTTTCAGGTTGCAGACCACGCCGAACCCAGAAGTACCGGAATGGGTTACTTCTGGGTTTCGGCACTCACACATGCGCAGAAGCACAAAATGACATCACACGCATGCACAGAAGCGCCGAATCGCGTCACACACATGCGCAGATGCAGCGCTTCAGGCTACGAATGCTGCGGGTTGCAAACATGCCTCCCGTGTGAATCATGTTTGCAACCGGAGGTATGACTATGTACATATTCTGCAGACTTAGCAGTTCAAAAGCACGCCAGTGCAAGTGGATAAATAGGTACTGCTGCGGCGGGAAGGTAAACAGTGTTTCTGTGCATTTCAGTCATGGTGTTCCATTGCGCTAGAAGTGTTTAGTCATGCTGGCCACATGACCCGGAAAACTGTCTGTGGATAAACACTGGCTCCCTCGGCTTGAAAGCGAGATGAGCGCTGCAACCCCATAGTCACCTTTGACTAGACTTCACTGTCAATGGGTCCTTTACGTTTACCTTTTCCTGATAGTGAACTGGCAGATTCCAGACTGTTCAGGATGCATGTGTATAACTCATGATTCGCTAGAGAACGTAAATGATGTTAGGATATTTCCGTTCCACCTTAAAAGGGAGCAGGATGTTTGTGTCACAGCCTGCGTATTTCCTGTTCACAGGATGTTTCTGTTGTGTCTATGCCAATACAGGGTGACATTGCACATTTCCAGGAATGCTGTAAAAGGAAGCATTATTGAGTTAGACCCTTTTGTGTGTCTGAATCTGGGGTAACAAGCAGCAGGACAATGTGCACTTCAGTCGTAGAGAAATGCCCAAATTGGGAGCATACATGTGTTCTGGTTGGTTCCGTCTCCACAGATAATGCTAGAAATGGAAAAGAGAGAGGCCAGTTCACTTGTGGTCCATTTTATCTATTATTGTACTCCCAGGGAAGGAAATTAGCCAGCCCATAGAACAATGATCTCAATTTAGCATGTTTATTCATCAAAATCTATCTGTCTCTGCTTATCTCTTACGTGACTTTTATCCAATGAAGCTTAAAGTATTTAATAAAAACAATAAATACAATGACTGTAAACATGCCTAAAAGCAGCATAAAACAGCTTTAAAAACAGCAGCGGTGAGAAACATCACATACAAGAACACTTTTCAACAGCACACTAAAAAAACAAGCAAACCTGAATCACTCTCTAGAACAGGCAAGTCCTACATTGTCTCTTAAACACAGTCAGGGATGTGTGCTCGCATAACTCAGCAGGGTTTACCACCCTCCTATTCCCACTTGCATTATATACCAACTGGCATATGAGATGCAGCTATCTGCACAAGATGCTTTAAAAGCCAGGATGCAAGTCCACAGCATATAAGTGATAATATACCCATGACAGGAATGAGGTTCATCATCGAGGGTGGATGCGTATACATGGAATATCTGAAGTAGTGCACATCACAAATTGGCTTCCAGCTTTGCTCTAACTCCGTACTTCCAATCTTTGTTAGAAGCCCACACTGTGAACTCTACATGCCTCATAATTACAATCATCCGGGCCCCTGGAAATGGACAAATTGCACAATTTTAGGTTATCATCATCTTTTCTGCATGTAGTCTTGATGTGCAACAAATGTTTCTGGCTTCCATTTATTGTTCAAGCTTTGCTCTTTGCAGAAGCCAGTAAATGAGTTTGAAAGTTGGAGCAGGGAGGAAAGGGGGGGCTAATAATACCTCTCTGGGATATACCACCTCAGATTACAGGTGGCGGTTAGCGTGTCTCCATCCCCTGCACAAAGGAAAACAGAATTTTAGCCAGTGGGGTGCAGTGAATTTTTTCATAGGGGAACTGTTAGGGCCGGAGACACCAGCTTGCAAGGCGTTGGGGGGGGGCTGATGTCACGGCGGTGAGCATCGTGCCTCTTTCTCCAAGACAGGCAAAATGTCCCAGGCTTTGGGAAGGAGACACCAGGTCTTACAAGATGCTGGAGCCCTGCTGCCTCCTTCCTAAAGCTAGGCGGGCTTTGGGATGGTGGCGGGAAGGCTTTTGGACCCAACAGAGCATCACACCTCTCTTCCTAAGGCGGGCTTTGGGAAGAAGGGAACTACAGTGGTACCTCTGGTTGCGAACGGAGGCCTGTTTGCAACCTGAAAAGAACGCAACCCTCGTCTGTGCATGCGCGGGTTGCGATTTGCCGCTTCTGCGCATGCGCGTGACGTCATGTAGTGTGTCTGTGCGAGCGGTGAAACCCGGAAGTAACCCTTTCCGGTACTTCCAGGTCGCCGCAGGACAAACCTGAAAACGCGCAACCTGAAGCAAATGTAACGTGAGGTATGACTGTAGTCTAATCCCCCTCATCCAATGACTGCCTGCCACTGGTTTTAGCCCATATTTCTCTCTGACTTCTAGTTTTCTGGGCAGGGTTTTTCTTTTCCTTTTTAAAGAGAATGTGTGAGGCCTCAGCCTCC